ATCCCTTTGTCCGCGGCATTTTCTGCCGTTCCCCATGTCTTTCATGGTGCTTCTTATGTTCCCTTCAATTGAGCTTGAAATTCCATTGCTCATCTTAAAAAATGGGTTCAGGGGCTACTTGAGCATATCATCATAGGCACATCTTGAGCTGGGCTGAGGTCGTTTCCATGACTGTCCTGACGTCTTTCTTTCAGATCCAACCCGGTCGTGTCCACCAGACATCTCAACATCCCCATTTCTGCTTGATGGAGTTGCCTCTCTTGAATCTTGGCTCCTATGACACCACTTCTCTGTAGGTGTCTTCTGCAATACTGCTGGTGGCAGATGATGCCACAGGACTTTCTCAATTCTATTCATGCCATGCGATTCGAGTCTTCACAACCTGATCCACGCTACCCAGATGTTAGAGCCCATGCATTTTCAACAGCCCCTCCTCCAATGAACGATTGGCTTTATGCGTTCCTCCGACTTCAGAAACTCAGTCTTCTTTACATTTAGCCCAGAGCTACATATTCTATGTTGGAACGTTCTGAACGGCCATTTATGTGGCCTGTTCTGAAGTTCTTACTATCTCTTCACTAACCGTACGATGTCATCAGCATATACAGTGGTTCTCAGTGATCCATCCATTCATTGTGATGACAACCTGTGGTAGTAGGTAGAGGAACGTGTTGAAGGCTGATCTTGGAGTAACTTCATCATTCATGTTCTTTCTATGAGGCTTATAATATTGTTTTGGGCTCAACGTCTATGTTCTTAAACAGAGAGGTTAGATGTCATGAACTTCTCGGAGCACTAATCAGAGTACTGATCGCGATGAGCGGTTATGTGCCTTCTTCAGGTGGAGGAAAGCTGATTGATAGGGCCTATGGTTTTCACAATACTTCCTCATCACTTGTTTTATTATGAAGATGGCATACATCGTAGACCATGTGGCAAGGAAGGTTTATGCCTTGCAAGAATCGGATTCCACGATGGTTGGAACACTCCATCGCATACTCATTCTGCTTGAGGGCGAGAACTACATTACTGCTCCTCCAGCATCTGTACCACCTCCGTCTCCTTAGCCCAAAGATGGATTGGGCTAGCCATCGCCTCCACCTGGAGGCTGTTTCTACGATATCACGGGACCAGCGAAGTACCTAGCAATGATTTGATGGCATCATCAAAGCTCTACTGAATTCATCTCTTTCGTCCTCCGGCAGCTGGCCTGTGGTGCGTACATTGATGTTATCGTTTAGTAACTTCTTTGTGTCTTTCTTCACAGCCATGCCCCCATCACTGTTCCTATTGATGGGAGAAATGGCATCTTTGAGTTGCATCAACAATGTTGTGGCTACACCACTTCTTTTTTGTCTCCTTCATTTCAATTGAGCTTGACACTTTCCCGATTTCTTTTGACTCTTTTCCAGCTTCTCTCCCAAAGGCCAATGACATGGATGCCCCTTGACGAGCAATCTTTCTGGACTTCCCAGTAGACCCTTCAACGTTTAGAGCCTCAATTCGAACTGTCCTTTAGCCTCGATGGTTTATTCCTCTATAGCCCTCGCATGCTGTCCACAAAACCCAGGCGGGGATCCTGTGTGCAACTTCCTGGTTACGCGTAGCATTATATCCTTGCGGCTTTATGGACTTCAAACATGGTTTTTGACTAGGCTTTTCCATCAGGCTGCCTTATAACATGAGCCTGCCGCAGCTACCAACGCCATTTTTGCAATCTTCCACAGGAACTGTCCTCTGCTTCAGTTGGGATCGAGCTAGTAGCCTTTGTGAGAGCACACATAAGTCTACACTTCTTTCACAAGGCAATCTTCGCCTCCAATATTTTTTTGCCTTTCCCATGCCATCACTATTATACTCCAGACTAAAGCGACCAGGTGACCGTACGTCTCACTTCAGATTCCGGTTCTGCCAAACAGTAAACCACCTGATTTCAGTTGTCCGACATAGAGGGGAGAAACGAAATGACAATAGAGGAGGAAAAAGGCGAAGAACTGAAGGTGAGCCATAAATTTTCCTCTTTTTAATGGTAAGGAACAGGTGAACGAAGTTGCGTTCAATAGTCTTTTTGAGGCCATTCAACCAGTCGACAGCAATCCGACGACCGTCGGAGCGTTGAAAACTTTCGAAGGTGAGAGAAATTCGATGTGGTAGCGAGTCGCTCTGATCACAAACACATTTATTACTTATCACCCACTCCCACAACTATGCACAGTTCCTTACCAACTGTGTTCGACAATTCCTCAGGCAAGACGTTAGTTTCTCGTATTGTGAACCCTTCTTTGCTTCAATTTTATCACGCTTGATTCATTGAAAAAGTATATTGGTAGGGTATAGTACTTGGGAAGCTTCAATAAATGAAATTATAGGTATGAACTAATCAGTATGACCAAAAAACTGCTGTCAATTCTCAAGTCAGGACTTTCTTGTCTGTAAACGTATCAACTGTGTGTTAGCTTGACTTCTGTCCCTTCACCTTCGTCAAGAACTATACTGAGGGAATTAGGTCCACTTCCCATCCGTAACTCGGATTATTCTTTAGATTACAAAAGGAGCATGTTAAAGGAAGTTTTGAAGAATCTTCGCTCACCTCAAACACCATTACAAACATGTGGTCCGCGGTTTGATGGGCCCATAGGGTGAGCTAGTTCCTGATCGCCCTCATTTCTGCGCCTTGTCCGACCGTGGCCGACGAGCCTGAAATCAGCTCAAAATTAGAGAGCTGACGGATGCATAAGATAGAGAGGTCAGGTTCACTCAGATTAGTGTCATAAATAAAGTTCAATCAGTATTAATCTGCCCATATAAGTTGTTTTGTGAAGGAATTGACAACTACTTCACCACAGGCTGCTAAAAACGATTAAACACTTCAGAACTTAGCGAAGAATACGACGATTGGGATGGAAACATACACACATATGCCTCAGATCGTATGGACCATCCAATTCGAACGAACAGCGTTTGTGCAGAACAGATTTCTCGGTGCGTTGGACAATTGTACCGCTCCTACTTGGAACATTCTCAGAAAACTGCTCTAATAGACGCCTTAGGGTGATTTTTGAAAATAAATAAATGAATGCTCAACTTCCAGATCGCTTAATGGTGACACAAACCCATCGATATTCACTCCACGACAAAAGAGGTGCTCATGAACTATTTAATCCAGAAAATCCTTTTTTTCCAAAAAATTACCTTAGCTATTGCTCTTTTTGAAAGAAGTCTGATTTTCCGGGAGGTGAATGTTACCCTAAGTGAGTGGGCGGAGCATAAAAATCGCTCCTCCTAGAAGTCCGAAGAGACGTCATCTTTTGATGAATGTCTTTGTACTGATGTAAGACATTTTCAATAAAAACGCTTAACATTCGTCCATTCTTGTTGTACTTATTTTCGCTATTCATATTTAATATTTATTAATTGTTATCGATCCCAAATAAGTAACATAATCTTGTGATACTTATTTCAACTGATGTTTATTGTTGTTTCCTACTTAGAAGTTTATATTATCTCCCTGTTCGATGGATAAATCAAACTCGACTCCCACCTAGAATAAGCCGTGTGAAAAGAGAAAACACTGCAAAATGGGCGTGTCTGCCTGGGGCTGGCTTGGACGCTCCGCCCACATCCCTAACATCCTTGCTAATTGGATGATAGGCAATTACAATGACAATGTGTACACGAAACACACATCTTTCTTAAAATTTTACGAAAGAGAAGGGGTCTCATTAGGTTCAAAAACTCGTACTTTACTCGCCTCACCTCTGAGTGCGATCCTTTTAGGAAAGCACGGTCGCACAGCTTTTCTGAACGTTCATTGCGGAAGCATTCACTGCATGGTACTGCCAAGGAACATGCGATGTTAAGCAAACAGAATTCGATAGGGTCTGAAACGAATACGATCACATCCAATCCCTCAACCAGTGCCAGCAAACATGATCCGGAGTTCTATAAAGCTGTCAATGAATACTATAACCGACTTGCAAATGGCTTTCATAACGGTAAGCTGGCTATTGAGTTGGGCCGGGTATTATGTTTGACAGCTCAGGTTCCGCGTTTGGATGCGCCATGTCTCTAGCTATAGACTTTCTATCGTTTCAGAAAAGAACTACGATTCGTTATTCGGTACACCGGATTATATTGTCAAACGTACGGCGCTAGCAGCAAACAACAACAAGGCTTCATCAAATTCAGATCCACATTTGACAACAAGACGTGAGTTAGAGGGCACAGATCTGAATGCATTTACTTATGCTTCTGACTTGAACTTCCATCTGAAGCCACAATCTTGTCATGGTTGCTATAGAGTTTGAAGTACAGTTCTAAAAGTCAGAATTTTCGGGCTCAGGTTAAAGGCACAGTTCACGTCAAAAATGGTTTCTGGGTTCTCCCCCTAGGATCACCCACTAGCATCCAAGGAAACAGGAAGGACGCTGTCGAGCCCAAGAACTCAACAGCCAGGGCATAAATGGGTGCCCCGCTACTGGATCGCTCGGACTTCCCGCTCCTCGATCGATGTCACGTCAGACGAGTGTCGAGGCGATACAGATTGCAATATTCGCTCTAGGACCCACACACAATCAGCTGATCGCCTAGTAACAAGGCAATGTTTTTCTCCATACGTTTACTCTGTGTGATTCTTTTTGCTGCTGCAATGCCTCATTCAATTTTTTACCCACAGAGACTGAAAAAGGTATGCTATTTTGCCGTTACTAGGGATTTTTTGTTAACTTGTGCTTATGAGTGAATGAATTTCTGCTTACCGTAGTCAGCCATTCCAACTAGGACCCACACGTACGCAATGAAATATATTGTATGGCTCTTCTCATTCTTCTTCATTTTTCTGGTCTCAATCTAATACAGCATCCTTATNGTGATTCTTTTTGCTGCTGCAATGCCTCATTCAATTTTTTACCCACAGAGACTGAAAAAGGTATGCTATTTTGCCGTTACTAGGGATTTTTTGTTAACTTGTGCTTATGAGTGAATAATTTTCTGCTTACCGTAGTCAGTCATTCCAACTAGGACCCACACGTACGCAATGAAATATATTGTATGGCTCTTCTCATTCTTCTTCATTTTTCTGGTCTCAATCTAATACAGCATCCTTATTAACTATTTCTTGAAGCTTTTTTTTCACTTTGGCAACACCGTTCTACGCGATTTCTTCGCCTTCATCGCACTATTTTCCATCACATCTTTGATTTTTTGTCATAATCTAGATTACCCAAAATTATCGTGAACAGTGCCTTTACTTTCCCGTACTATGTTTTATCCTCCACACCGACTCTTTTCTTTTTACAAGATCAAGCCCTTTTTTATACCGGGAATCACCTGAATGGATGCTCGCAGTCTAATTTTGCTCCCTGCCTACAAGTTATTGGAAAAATAAGCCTAGTTGTCACCCCGAAAGGGTCATCATGCTATTCCGTTCTGGGGAAGACCTTTTCAAGGAATGAATAAGTGGGGTGGTTGGTGCTGGTGTGGCTATGTTTAGAGACATCTTTTAGATCCTATTCATCATCCGAAGTGTTTCCAGAATTCAACCGCTCTATCTATTGGCTGGTGCACAATCGGCGAAAATACGGTTTCCGGCATTTATGTATGCTTATACTTGTACTTGTTTACACACTCCTCGGAGCAGCAATGTTCTTCACTATAGAGGCAAAACATGAACATCACGTACGTTTATAAAACTTTGATGCCAGATTCCTATTGACCTGTCCACTTAGGTCAGTCCCCATGCTCTCAACCTGTGGGAGAGGAAGGTGCAGGTAGAAAGGGCGAGTAGAAAAAGGTGCCTACGATTCTAAACTGAGAAAATTCCTGCTACTGTTCAGCTCCGCTTCAACTCCATAAGAATCTATCAAAAACAGGCATTCTTCCCACCTTGGGCCTAAAATGAAAAGGTAGGGATGGAACAGAGCCAAGTATCGCTTCCTATGACCTGGGCTCGTTACCTGAGCTCTAGGAATCAAGCAAGGAATGTTTCAACCCTGCTTGAAATTCTTGTACATGCCCATTCAAGAACGGAAATGGCAGACAGCGAGACCCTATTTTTCACCAACTGTTTCTTATTTTGCTAGAACACTTAATATTCCTTTTAAGTTAGTGACTGAACGTAAGGCTGCTCTCGACAAATCAGTTCTCATCATTGCTGGACAACTGATGTCATTACAAAACGGTACTGACATATTTGCCAACATGAGCTCGGCTGAAGAATTTGTGAAGGTAAGCGTTAGGATAGTAATATTGAAAGTATCAATGCTCATAAAGAAAATTGGTAATAACAAATAGTAATGACTGAATATAAGGGACTGTAATAGGAAATAATACAGATATTGCTCTCCGGAAGCTCTTACCATAATGAAATTTCAGTCTACTTACATATCCTTATTGAAAGACGAGTCTTTGTATGAAGGCAGTACGTACTGGAAAGCGTCGGATGCAGAAAATTTCAAATGGACATATGCTAGTGCATTTTTCTTTTCGATGAATTTATATACGACGACTGGTTACGGTATGTCACCAGGCCTGAATCTTTTAGACGGCGGATCCGGATCACAATGGACGAATTCAGTCCTATTGATTTAGGTTCAATAGCTGCCGAATCGATGCTCGGTCGGATATGTGTTATGTGGTATTCTATGCTGACGATTCCAATCACTTTGGTGGTGATTCGTGATCTTGGTCAAGCAACACTTGTTTGCATAACTAAAGTCTATGCTCACATACTAGTTAAGTTCCGGTAAGTACCTAAAGAGTTGAATGAGTCGTTATATCCCAAGGTTTTTTAAATTGGATTTCCTTCGGCCCACTTGAAGAGCTCAAGGAAGAATCATGGCAATGGGGAAGGTTGTTACCTGTTCTTCCTACCTACACACCTATACAGGCTCAAGTTCGAAGAAAGCATCGACTTAGGGGCTAGTGTGGCTTATGCTGCTCTGACCAAAATACGGTTCCTCGTAAGAGAATTCGACCCGTCTGCGCTATCGTGCTTTTGAACCCCTGCTCCCTGCTAATCCAGCTGGATGGAGATGTTTATTATTGTGTAAGGGTTTATATGGCGGTGTGATAGTTGATTCCTTCATCTTCTTCATATCCCTCCTTTTCCTTGCTGCTTCTCCAATACAGCAGTCTAACACCTAAATACTTCACTCACTACACCCTCCCTTCTCCTCGCCTCTCCAGCTCCTCCTGCCGAAAAAGGAAACGTTATTACAGTAACTTGAATGCCACATTAATTAGTACTCACCCGTTTGCCATTTGTATAGAGAAACGGCGTTCCGGTCCACAAGTATCTTCCATTCGCGATTTGTGCAAGAAGTCGTGATGCTATGTCTGATCTTCTTGGTCCGTTCTGCACCTCGAATAGAGCGAGCTATGAAAATCATGTATAAATATAGCAAATAAAATCAGACGCACCACTTGTGGTACAAAAAATCTGCGATGAAGTCAGAGAGAGCGAGGTCTTCAGCAAAAATTCAGTGCTGCGCTATTTCCTCCAAATCGGTGAGCGAGCATTGTTGACAGTTGTTGAAGGACACTTGAAATTTGAAGCTTACTAGTAACGTTATTTTTTTTATTTACATGTTTTTATTTGTTGGCATAACACTAGCTTTTCATCAGTTCATCTGGACTGGCATGCTACATCAACTAACAGCGGCAAATATCTATCTATTATCAAGTAAGCTTTGATAGCGCATAATGGTTTCAGTAGCTCTGCAATCATTCAGTCACGCCATCATCTAGCATTCTCAACAGTTTATGTGTCCGTTACTGTCCACTTGGTTGAGCTCTCATTTGTCTTTTCAAATTTACACCGTTTTTCCACTCCCTGCTCCGTTCAATGGGCTAGCATCCTACTTGCCCCAGCCAGCCAAGAGCCTCGCTCTTTTTCAAACTAAGACCCCTCTACTGGCCCATATTGCTCGCCCTCCTCACGCAGGCACTTCCTAATTGAGTTATCCGCCAAGCAAACTAGGTGTTAGATAGTTTGTACGCAATATATGACAAGAAAGCAAGCGGTTGCGGCGCGTTACGCTATGATTTTGTGTAGGTCGTAAATTTTCCGTTATTTTAGACACTGAAAGTTGTTTTCAGAAGAACAATGGGATACTTGGAACCGCACGAGGACAGCATGATATCTCTGCCAATAAAGTTTTGCCTTATGTTATTAGCAGGTAAGTGGTAAAGTTTCTTTTGATTCTAGTTTAGTATAGAATTTCGAATTGTCAACAGGAAGCAGCAATCGGGGTTGCCTACTAACAGGCCAATTCATTTTTTTTGTTAATTCATTCTTCAAAGTCTGCTTATCTAGGTTACCTCTTATTTGCTGCGGCATTTATCTATTTATTCGATGATTGGATGGGTTACATACCACACAGTGGTCTATCGTTCTTCACTTCTCTTTATTTCTCCTATATATCTATTTCGACAATCGGCTTGGGTGATATTATGCCCAACAATGCAACGGTAGGGATTTACGATCTTATACTTTCTACGGAAAAACGTCAGTGTATGTCACGGCAATGTAATTTGTGACCTCAGTAGCATGTCGTGTAAAATGTTCGAGAGTTGGGAGTTTGAAAGTAATGGCTTATTTTAACGTCAGACTCAGGTCTGGCAAGGCATCAGCTATAGCCAAGTAGCGCTGTAAAAGAGAGGAGTTTTGGCATTTGATTTGCGAACAGCACTCGTCATCGTTGTCCATTCAGTTCCACCCAATCATCTCCATCTTATTCTTCTTCGGAATGCCAGTGATGAAGGTGGTCAACCGTGCCACGTATATCTGCATAGAAAACGGGGTATTTGGTAAGCTTTTTTCAGTCTTGAGCACACTGCTTTTATTGATATGCAGCATTCGCGAGGTATATTTCCTACATTAAGGTGCATTTACACTTCTCGAAAATTCTATTGATCGGATGACATCGAAGATTAAACCCCGCGAAGAGCCTCAGGTAAGTTCTATGGATTGATAGGCTAATAGGCTGGAAAAAGGTTAAAAGGAGAACAAAAGCATGCGCCTGCTCGCCTGAAATTCACAAAAAGTCTGTGCAGTCTCGGAGTCTCGGGGGACGGAGAGGGGGGAGAGTGACACTGTTCTGTCCTACTGCAACTACACCAAGACTCCCGAGCGCTCCGCCAAGCATTGATTCTTCCCTTTTAAACCAATTGACCGGGCGGTAGTAGAACAATTATCGAAGTGGTCCCACTTTGTCATATCTCAATCTCATATCTCGTCNCAATATCGATTGCAGCGCAGTACAACCACCGTTACATTGGCACTAGAACACCCGATTCGGTTATCACCCTCCCACGCCGTAAACGCTCGCTCTTAGCTTCCTATGTTCCGAAAGCCAAAGTAAATAGAACCTTGACGGATATTCACCAAAAATAACAATTTCAGCCTTCACGACGACCATCGAGGAAGATCAGTCGTTGCAGTTACTGTAGTCATATCAATGATGGGGAAGAAGAGGTATGGGTGCGATTTTTCCAAATTGGCAGAATTTTAAAATTATTGAACGGTCATCTAGAGAAGCTGGCAGTTCGTTAAGTCCATCTCAAAGGTTAGAAAATAATTCTTTCTAGGATAAGGCTACAGAACTGCTTAATGGCTTGACCATTCGCTCGTTGGCCGCATTCGCAAGGACGAATGCCGATGTGTATGGAGGAGGATTTGGACGAGTTAACTTACGGAAGGGTGATCTCGTCCAGTCAAAAACGAGTGTTGGCCAGAATCCGGAACCATCGCCATGAACAAATAGATGGTATAGGAATCACTCGGATAGATGAGCTTGCTCGTAAGAACGCCTGCAAGGCGTTTGATGGAATGTCACGATACTGTAATAAAAAACGAATAAATTTAATATTGTATGATTAAATTTGGTAATTTTCGCAATTGAAGTGTTTTCTGCACACTGAGACGTCTCTACCGTTCTATTTTTTCATGATAGTACCATTTTTCCGATTTGTTTACCCTTCAAAGGTGGCATAACGGCGATGGCTAAAGTGGGAGGCACGATTTTTTGCTAGTCGTCAAGTGTGTTTATGCATCTCACCATGTAGTGAGCTCTGGCAAAAAATTTGTTGAAAAAAATGCGAAGTCCAGCAGATCACGGTAACATTACTGTAAAACTCGGACAAATGCGGAGTTCAGTTTTCAAACGATGCTTCACAACAAGACTTATGAGTCTGGGATGGTGTTGACCAGGTAGAAGGGGTCCATAGTTAGTGATTTACCAACAAGCAGGAGATGGAACTTTACGAGGACGTCTGTCCATGGGCATGTGAAGGCAGAGGAGGAAGTCAAGGCAAGAGCAGTAGTTGTATTTATTTATTCATTTCTNAACTCGGACAAATGCGGAGTTCAGTTTTCAAACGATGCTTCACAACAAGACTTATGAGTCTGGGATGGTGTTGACCAGGTAGAAGAGGTTCATAGTTAGTGATTTACCAACAAGCAGAAGGTTTAACTTCACGAGGCTCCAGCGTGAACCCTCGTTGCAGTGAGAAATGTGGAAGAGGAAACGTCTGTCCATAAGTGCCTGTAAAGGCAGTGGAGAAAATCAAGGCAAGAGCAGTAGTTGTATTTATTTATTCATTTCTTGTCCTTAACGCTTCAAACGACTCCTAACTAAACTGATATCTCCTAGACTCCCACCCAACTGCAGACCAACTTTTCAATCAGCAGGCGAGATAAAAAAAACCACCGTATCATGCCTACATAGATCTCAACGAGCTTGCTACCATTCCCACTGGATAACTGCTCAAAATCTCTTGGAACCTCCTTCCTCTACTTTTAACAACGTACTCCACCTCATCGGGGCTGATAGGAGGAGCAGATTCACTTCTCGAGGTTTTTCAATCAATTACTCAAAAACAGAGAGGGAAATAATACTGTGAGGAAGCTCACCATTGCAGTAGAACAATTGATAGGCACTGTTAGAATCTTTATAAGCTCATTGATAATTCACAAGTAAATCCGTAATAATCACAGGGATATAGAATGTTCACAGACTTCAAAAATTATAAGTAACAATAATAATTTTAATTACAGTATTAGTCATAGTGAAACTTACAATGACTACAAGAATCCAAAGTGGAAGACAAAAAATCACTTCAAAAAATATCAACTTAAGTGGACGACACAGGGCGATAAGCCGTTTAGTGTTCAAGCATTAGCATAGCATGCAAGCGTAAGCATTACGTATGTCTTTTTTTTACGAAGAAAACTTATATTCTATTCATTCATGCGGGGATAAAAATCGTGCAGAAAAACTGCCCCATGAACTAGCTCTTCGGGGCGGCTGTCCGTATCTTTTTTACAGAACACAAAAGATCAGATT